GAGTCCCCTCCTGCATCCAAACACCCTCCTGGAGCCCCCCCCAACACTCCAACCCCCTGCCCCAGTCCCCTCCTATGCCCAAAACCCCTCATCCCCAGCCTCACCCCCACCCCAGAGCCCACACCCCCAGCCGGAGCCTGCACCCCTTCCCGCACTCCGAACCCCTCACCCCCCAGCCAGAGCCCTCATCCCCCACATCCCAACTCCCTGTCCCAGCCCAGAGACCTCTCCTGCTCCCGGAACCCCTCATTTCTGGCCTCACCTGAAGTCCGCACCCTCAGCCCAGAGCCCATACCCACCCCAACCACTGCCCCAGCCTAGAGCCCTCTCCCGCACCCCAAAGCCCTTATCCCCGGCCTCACCCCAGAGCCCACACCCCCAGCCGGAGCCCTCACCCCCAGCTCAGTGAAAGTGAGTGAGGGTGGGGGAGAACGAGTGACAGAGGGAGGGGGGATGGAGCGGGCAGGGGAAAGGGCCTTGGAGAAGGGGCGGGGCAGGGGCGGGCTCTCGGGGAATGGGCAGAGCCAGGGGGCGGGGCAGGGGTGTTCAGTTTTGTGCGATTAGAAAGTTGGCAACCCTAGTTTAATTGCGGTGTAGATGTTCTGGCTCGGGCTGGAACCCGAGCTCCGGGTCCCTTCCCACTCACGGGATCCCAGGGTTTTTCTCCAGCCTGAGCATCTACACCACAGCTAAACAGCCCCTTAGTCCGAGTCCCTTTCCCCGAGTTGGCTGACCTGGACCAGCCGTGAGTTTTCAATTGCAGTGTAGACATACCCTAAGAGTCTGGACTTCCAAGCCCCAGCTCTAACCCACTAGACCCCTCCCCTCCAAAAGCCAGGAATAGAAGCCAGGAGTCCTGACTCCGAGCATTTCCCGCTCTGACCCGCTAGACCCCACTCCCCTTCCAGAGCTGGGAATAGAACACAGGAATCCTGGCTTCCTGCTCTAACCCACTAGACCCACTCCCCTTCCAGAGCGAGGAAGAGAATCCAGGAGTCCTGACTCTCAGTATCTTGCTCTGACTCACCAGAGCACAGACTTTTAAATCCTTTAATTAATTTGCCAGGTCACTAGGAGCCTTTGGATGATGAAGTCGCCTGGTAACTCTCCATGGGAACCACGGACTTGGGCTCATGTGGAACTACACAGATAAAGAACACTTCAGGGATGTGGGAAAGGAGGTGAAGAAGAGGAAAGTCCAAGTTATCTTCTCGGAGATCCTTCTGGCTCTGAGTGAGAGACAGGAGAAGGCCGAAAATACTGGAGGTGACCCATCGGCTGCACGACCGGCGGGAAGCTGAATGTTTTGTGGAACATTGGGCCACACTTCAGGGGAGAAGTGGCTCCAGGAATGGGATGGCCTGCATCTCACAGGCAGGGGGCTAATCTCCTTGGCTGGAGACTAGCTGGCACAGGCGCCGACTTTCCAATATGCTGGGGGATGCTCGACCCCTGGCTTGGCCCCAGGCCCCATCCCCACTCCACCCCTTCCTCCAAGGCCCCACCCCACCTCTTCCCACCCCTGCTCCTTTCCCCTCCTCCCCAGAGCCTCCTGCACACCGGTGGGTGGGAGATGCCGGGGCTGGGGGGGGAAAGCTGATCGGGGGGTTGCCGGTGGGTGCTCAGCACCCACCATTTTTTCCCCGTGGGTGCTTCAGCCCCGGAGCACCCACGGAGTCAGCGCCGGTGCTAGCTGGAGCAGCCAGGAGGGCATTAGAATAATAACATGAGGGGAGGGCGCTTAGGAGGCAAACGTGGTACAAATTCCGTGAGCAAAGTGAGCAGATACGACGCAGAAAGTGAGAACATTGTTCAGAGGCCGATGTGCTAATGCTAGAGGCGTGGGTAACCAACAAGAGGAATTGGAAACGCCCATGGAGGAGGTGACATTTGATATAACTGGCATTACTGAAACACGGCGGCGGGACGATTTGCATGACTGGAATGTTAAAATCTCTGGTTCAGGAAGGATGGAGTGGGTAAAACAGGAGTGTGGGGGAGTTGGCACTCGGCATTAAAGACACAAATTGCTTGTTTTTGAGTTATTGATAACTCACACATTCAAGATCCTGTGAGTCTATGTGAATGCGCTCACTAACAAAGCCCTGGACGGGGTACGGGTGGGGGTCTGTTACAGCTCAACGGATCCAACCAGCGAACAGGATGAGTTACTCCTTAAACTCCTGCCTGCAATGCATGGAAATAAAAATTGTGTTCTTATGGCAGACATATACTGGAGGTCTCAGACAGCCAGGAGGAAAACATCATTAGAAATTCTAAAAGTCATAGATGATCATTTTCTAACACAAAAAGTATTGCCCCCGATATGAGGCAACTATTTTGGACGTCATTAAGTCATATAAAGATGAATTAATCACTGGACTGGAAGATGGTGGTGCGGGACCAGTGATCATGACCTGATTACATTCAGTATGGACAAACAGAGGACAGTCCTGACCAGTAATACAGATACTTGTAGAGCCCTGTGCGGATACGAAATTTGTATCCGCATCCGAGCCACAATCTGCAAAAATGGTTCATGGATATCTGCATCCGTGGATATAAAGCAGATAGCTGCGGATTTGCAGAGTTTTACATACTTCGTCCTTCAAAAGGGCTGGTTTCCCAAAACTGAGAAAAATTATAAACAAAATTGATCAGAAGGGAAAAAGTTAGATAGAAAAATGTGAATGAAAATTGGGAGTTCTTTAAGAAGAGTTTATTAGGTGGCCAAAAGGCCATAGTTCCACAATCAAGAAAGGGGACAATTTTGGCAGAAAAGCCCATCGTGGTTCAGTGGCAAAGTGAAGGCCAATTAGAAATAAAAAAAATCAATATATAAAAAATGGAAAAAGGGGGGAAATAGATAGCAATCAATATAAATGGGAAGTTATGAAATATAGAATATTGATAAGGGAAGCTAAAGACCTTGGGGCGAAAAAAAATCTATGGCTGGCAGGGTTAAGGACAATAAGAGGAGGGTTTTTTAAGTATGTTAGGAACAAAAAAAACCCTAGCAATGGTACAGGCCCACTACTAGATGTTCTGGCACTGGTGAAATTGTTAATAATGATACTGAAAAGACAGAAGTGCTCAATAATTATTTCTGATCTGTATATAAAAAGAAGCATAAAGATGTACTCAGATCCAAAGCCCATTGATGTCAGTAGTAGTCTTTCCATTGACTTCATTGGGCATTGGAACAGGCTCAGAGAGCCTGTCTCCTGAGGTCACTGGGTCAAACCAACCTAAGTCATCCCAAATGACCAACAGTCATTCCAATTTAGTAGCTGTTGAATGGTCCTGGTTTGAAATGAGTTTGCTGGGTCTCAGTCCAGTTCCAGGATGTCATAAAAACCCACCCATAGTTTTGTGCTAAATTGGGCCCACCTTGGTAGCAGTTTCAACAGAAAAGCCAAGGATTGAAGGGGACATGGATATTTCTTCTCACCCTCTAAGATGTCTCCTGTAGACATAGGAACATCTGCGGGGAGTGCAGCAACTTGCATAGAAGTGGGAGGCAGGGCACAGGTTGTAGGAGGGAAGAGAGTTTGGAGAAGACCCCAGGAAGTCAGTCTGTGTGCCCATGGCTAGAATGCTAGCCACAGTCGCAACACCTCTTTATATAAACAGCTCTTTTAATAAAGAGTTTAGTTTTAGAAACAGGAATCCTTCCTGGTTATTAGCCAGTATGAGGCACATGAAAAATGACGGCTGTGGTCATTTTAGCAAGACCCACGGCAAGGAACAGAATGTGGGTCTAAAAACAGAGCAAAAAGGCAGCATGGAGGAAATGCTGGATTTCTGGACAAAAAACCTTGCACAAGCATGGAAGCAGTAGAAACAAGAACTGAGTCTGTGTACGAAGCTGATCACGGATGTAAAGATGAGAAAATGAAGGTAAAGATTTTATACCATCTCTTTGGGAGGAAAAGGACAAGAAGTGAGTGAGATGCTGTGGTCAGGAATAAAGCCCAAACTGTTGGAACAGCTGATAATGGTGTTGGTGAGTGCAAGGAGGCCAGACACAAGCAGACTGTACAGAGAAACTTTTTTTTAAACTCAAATCCAGGAAGCGGAAAGATGGAAGAGACACTTACATTACAGAGCTGAAAACTCCAGAGTCCACATGTAA